ACCAGTCAGATTAAACCAAATAAACAAGGAATATTCAGTGTTATTTTGTAGGTGATGCCAGAAAACCAGGAACAGTGGTGCCCCGCAAGACGAATGCCTCGCAAGACGGAAAACTCGCTAGACGAAAGGGTTTTCCGTTTGCGATGCGCTTCGCAAGACGAATTTCCCTGTGGGCTTGCTCCACAAGATGAAAATGTCTTGCGAGTCTTGCCATTTCCCCCCGCTTTCCCCCCTTTTTCTAAGCCGCTAAGCCGCTAATAGCCTTTTAGCAGCCAAGCCGCTAAGCCTTTAATAGCCGCTAACCCGCTAAACCGCTAATAGCGCTAATCCGCTTAGCCGCTAATGGGGTTGCTTTGCAAGACGAAAAAACCGCTAGACGAAGAGAATCGCGGAACGGATTCTTTTCGTCTTGCGAGGCACCACTGAATTATGTTCACATGTGGTGGGATTGTAAATATGTTTTAGGGGGGGGCAAATGGTGTTTAAGGAGATAACAGAAATCAGTGGGTTAAAGCTGACCGAAAGTCCAGAGGTTATTATCAATTTACGACGGGGTGAAAGGTTTGCAGGCTATGAAGAACCTGCTCTCAAATTTATTGACAGCTGCACAAATTATGATAGCTACAAAGTGGAAGGGGCAAACAGAATATAAAATGGAAGAATTGTCTACAGAGGTGTGGGATACAGCTATTAACGATAGATTAACATGTGCCATTAAGGTAAGACAGGGAATATGCAGGAGAAATGATTTTGAGGAGATATGGAAGGTGTTTGTAGAATTTGTTGAAACGGAAAAGGGTCAAACCATCGCAAGAGGTGTTGAAATTTTGGGAGGTTGGATAGCTACAATGGAATGGTCTCGGTGGCAGGGTGCACCGTTTTATTCTTATTTATTTGTGATTATTAGTTTGTCGAAATAAAATAATAAAAGGAAAAAGGAAAGGAAAAAAGAAAAGTCAACAAGGAAGGAAGGAAGGAAGGAAGGAAGGAAGGAAGGACCTTTGGTGTCCCTGGCTTAGTATTATTGTCTACAATGATTGGCGGGGATTCTCCAGAGTTTCAGATAGGGAATGTTCACAGCTCTACATGGAGATGCTGGAAAGCATCCTGATAGGAAGAAACTGCCTTATCCCAAGCCAGACCATTGGTCCATCTAGCTCACTATTATGGTAGCTCTCCATGGTTCCATCCATACCTGGAGAGGCTAGGAAGTTGAACCAGGGACATCCTATATGAAAGGCAAGATGCTCTGCCACTGAACTATGTCCCTTCTCCCAGCTAAGGTGTTTCAATCTTTCTAAAGAAAGAGCAGGTTATTAGTAGCGGGTGGGGTGAACTAAATAATAAAGAAATCACAAGCGTTGCAGATGGATTTCAATTTAATGTTCGTATTCTGCTTTTCTGTTAAGTAACATCGAGCTCAAAGCGGCTCACGATAACGACACTGCTAAAAATTAACAGTCACAATTGCGATCATAATATCAGAACCGCAGTAGCATGTAAATAAAGCAAAAAAGAAACCCCACAAATTCATCAAACAATGAATGCAATGTAGCACAAACTCATAGTGATTTGATATATCAGAAATATATACATATAGTCTCTCTGGGAAGGGACTTCTCCCAGGCAGCAAGATATTCCATTTTTCTTTTCTTTTTTAGCCTCGGCTTCTTTTCAGTCTTTATTGCAAGATATCTGTTTGCACACAATGTCTACAGAATTGTTGTTTTATTAAAAAGCTTGGCAATTCAAAAGCAAATGAAAAACCTTTCGGAATAATCTTGCCGTTGTTCAGTTTTGTTTCATGAATATTCGTGAATAGCATTTTGGACAGCACGGAATTGCAGTGTGTGTGTAAGAATTGAAAAGATAATAATGCAATCTTCCTGCTCAAACACAATTCAGGATAGGTGTGTCCTCCATAGCTGAGAGGGATCGTTCCTCTTCCAGTTCAAGATGGGTTAGGATGGGATCTTTATGGAAGTGATCACTTGAATAGCCGCTACTTTCTCATGAATTGTGTATATACTGCAGATCAAAGAGATAAGAATGCACCTCTGAAGCAGGAAATGGTTTATCCACTGCACTTAAACATTTCCTGAGAGGACAGAGCTGTAGCATAAACCATGAACAATAACAGAGGAAAATGGTTTCTCTCTTCAAATACTGAGGAGGGAATAACAGCATTGACCAAAAGCATGTTTAAAATAATGGATTTCTTTCCTAACTGGGGGTGCATATGTTTCTCTCGTTTCGATGGTGAAGGACTTGGCTTGAAAAACCACTTCTGAATGAGTGTGGTCTTCTGTTGCCACCTGCTGGTTTGAAACATGCCTTGCAGCTTCCACAGAGTTGATTTGTTCGACTTATATTTGCAACAGCTGATCCTTACTTGATTTTGCACCAGAAGAACAAAACCAAATGAAGACTGTACAAGACACAAATCTTCCCATCTTCTACCTTGATAAGAGTATTTGCCTTCACCTTCACCTTCACCCTGGCCTGGGCCAGGGCTTTCGCGTTCGCCATCACCTAGGCCCGTTCTTTCATCTTTGCCTTCGCCTTGAACCGGGCCTTTGTGTTCGCTTTCGTCTTTGTCCTGACCCGGCTATATAACTTTGCCTTGGCCCTGGCCTTTGCCTTTGCCTTCTCCCTGGCCCGGGCCTTCACCTTCACTTTCACCCTGACCCAGGCCTTTTTGCCTTTTGCCTTTTGCCTTTTTTGCCTGTGCCTGTGCCTGGGCTTTTGCCTTTTGCCTTCACAATAGCATGGGATTTTGTCTTTGCCTGTGCCTGTTCCTTTTGCCTTTTGCCTTTTGCCTTTTGCCTTTTGCCTTTTGCCTTTTGCCTTTCGCCTTTCGCCTTTTGCCTTCTGCCCTTTGCCTTTAGCCTTTAGCCTTTAGCCTTTAGCCTTTAGCCTTTAGCCTTTAGCCTTTTGCCTTTTGCCTTTTGCCCTTTGCCTTTTCCCTTTGCCCTTTGCCTTTCGCCTTCTGCCCTTTGCCTTTCGCCTGTGCCTGTGCTTTTGCCTTTTGCCTTTTGCCCTTTTGCCTTTAGCCTTTAGCCTTTTGCCTTTAGCCTTTTGCCTTTTGCCTTTTGCCTTTTGCCTTTTGCCTTTTGCCTTCTGCCCTTTGCCTTTAGCCTTTAGCCTTTAGCCTTTAGCCTTTAGCCTTTAGCCTTTAGCCTTTAGCCTTTTCCCTTTGCCCTTTGCCTTTCGCCTTCTGCCCTTTGCCTTTCGCCTTCTGCCCTTTGCCTTTAGCCTTTAGCCTTTAGCCTTTAGCCTTTTGCCTTTTGCCTTTCGCCTTTCGCCTTCTGCCCTTTGCCTTTCGCCTTCTGCCCTTTGCCTTTAGCCTTTAGCCTTTAGCCTTTAGCCTTTAGCCTTTAGCCTTTTGCCTTTTGCCTTTCGCCTTTCGCCTTTCGCCTTTTGCCTTTTGCCTTTTGCCTTCTGCCCTTTGCCTTTAGCCTTTAGCCTTTTGCCTTTTGCCCTTTGCCTTTTCCCTTTGCCCTTTGCCTTTCGCCTGTGCCTGTGCCTTTTGCCTTTTGCCTTTTGCCCTTTGCCCTTTGCCTTTAGCCTTTAGCCTTTAGCCTTTAGCCTTTAGCCTTTTGCCTTTGCCTTTGCCTTTTGCCTTTTGCCTTTTGCCTTTTGCCTTCTGCCCTTTGCCTTTAGCCTTTAGCCTTTTGCCTTTTGCCTTTTGCCTTTTGCCTTTGCCCTTTGCCTTTTCCCTTTGCCCTTTGCCTTTCGCCTTCTGCCCTTTGCCTTTAGCCTTTAGCCTTTTGCCTTTAGCCTTTTGCCTTTTGCCTTTTGCCTTTAGCCTTTTGCCTTTTGCCTTTTGCCTTTTGGCCTTTTGCCTTTTGCCTTTTGCCTTTTGCCTTTTGCCTTTCGCCTTCTGCCTTTGCCTTTCGCCTTCTGCCCTTTGCCTTTAGCCTTTAGCCTTAGCCTTTAGCCTTTTGCCTTTTGCCTTTTGCCCTTTGCCTTTTCCCTTTGCCCTTTGCCTTTCGCCTTCTGCCCTTTGCCTTTCGCCTGTGCCTGTGCCTGTGCTTTTGCCTTCTGCCCTTTGCCTTTCGCCTTCTGCCCTTTGCCTTTAGCCTTTAGCCTTTTGCCTTTTGCCTTTAGCCTTTGCCTTTTGCCTTTTGCCTTTTGCCTTTTGCCTTTAGCCTTTAGCCTTTTGCCTTTAGCCTTTAGCCTTTTGCCTTTTGCCTTTTGCCTTTTGCCTTTCGCCTTTCGCCTTTCGCCTTCTGCCCTTTGCCTTTCGCCTTCTGCCCTTTGCCTTTAGCCTTTAGCCTTTTGCCTTTGCCTTTTGCCTTTTGCCTTTTGCCCTTTGCCTTTTCCCTTTGCCCTTTGCCTTTCGCCTTCTGCCCTTTGCCTTTCGCCTGTGCCTTTAGCCTTTAGCCTTTAGCCTTTTGCCTTTTGCCTTTTGCCTTTTGCCTTTTGCCTTTTGCCCTTTGCCCTTTGCCTTTTGTCCTTTGCCCATTGCCTTCACAATGGCCTGGGATTTTGTCTTTGCCTGTGCCTATGCTTTTGCCTTTTGCCTTTTGCCTTTTGCCTTTTGCCTTTTGCCTTTTGCCTTTTGCCTTCTGCCTTTTGCCTTCTGCCTTCTGCCCTTTGCCTTTTTGCCCTTTGCCCTTTGCCTTTTGCCCTTTGCCCTTTGCCTTTGCCCTATGCCCTTTGCCCTTTTTCCTTTCCCTTTGCCGTTTGCCTTTTGCCTTTTGCCTTAGCCTTTTGCCTTTTGCCTTTTGCCTTTTGCCTTTTGCCTTTTGCCTTTTGCCTTTTGCCTACTGCCCTTTGCCTTTCGCCTTCTGCCCTTTGCCTTTAGCCTTTAGCCTTTTGCCTTTTGCCTTTTGCCTTTTGCCTTTAGCCTTTAGCCTTTTGCCTTTTGCCTTTTGCCTTTTGCCTTTTGCCTTTTGCCTTTTGCCTTTTGCCTTCTGCCTTTTGCCTTCTGCCTTCTGCCCTTTGCCTTTTTGCCCTTTGCCCTTTGCCCTTTGCCTTTGCCCTTTGCCCTTTGCCTTTTGCCCTATGCCCTTTGCCCTTTTTCCTTTCCCTTTGCCGTTTGCCCTTTCCCATTTGCCCTTTGACCTTTGCCCTTTCCCCTTCACCCTTTGACCTTTGCCTTTTGACCTTTGACCTTTGACCTTTGCCCTTTGCCCTTTGCCCTTCTGCCCTTTGCCTTTAGCCTTTAGCCTTCTGCCCTTTGCCTTTTGCCCTTTTCCTTTTGCCCTTTGCCCATTGCCCTTTGCCTTTTGCCCTTTGCCTTTTGCCTTTTGCCTTTTGCCTTTTGCCTTTTGCCTTTGCCCTTTGCCCTTTGCCTTTCGCCTTCTGCCCTTTGCCTTTTGACTTTTGCCTTTTGCCTTTTGCCTTTTGCCCTTTTGCCCTTTGCCTTTTGTCCTTTGCCCATTGCCTTCACAATGGCCTGGGATTTTGTCTTTGCCTGTGCCTATGCTTTTGCCTTTTGCCTTTTGCCTTTTGCCTTTTGCCTTTTGCCTTTTGCCTTTTGCCTTCTGCCTTTTGCCTTCTGCCTTCTGCCCTTTGCCTTTTTGCCCTTTGCCCTTTGCCCTTTGCCTTTGCCCTTTGCCTTTTGCCCTATGCCCTTTGGCCCTTTTTCCTTTCCCTTTGCCGTTTGCCCTTTCCCATTTGCCCTTTGACCTTTGACTTTTGCCCTTTCCCCTTCACCCTTTGAACCTTTGCCTTTTGACCTTTGACCTTTGCCTTTGCCCTTTGCCCTTTGCCCTTTGGCCTTCTGCCCTTTGCCTTTAGCCTTTAGCCTTTTGCCTTCTGCCCTTTGCCTTTTGCCCTTTCCTTTGCCTTTGCCCATTGCCCTTTGCCTTTTGCCCTTTGCCTTTTGCCTTTTGCCTTTTGCCTTTTGCTTCTGCCCTTTGCCTTTTGCCTGTGCCTGTGCCCTTTGCCTTTTACCCTTTGCCTTTTGCCCTTTGCCCATTGCCTTTTGCCCTTTGCCTTTTGCCTTTTCCCTTTGCCTTTCCCTCTGCCCTTTTGCCTTTTGCCTGTGCCTGTGCCCTTTGCCTTTACCTTTGCCTTCTGCCCTTTGCCGTTTGCCCTTTGCCTTTTGCCTTTTTGCCTTTTGCCATTTGCCATTTGCCATTTGCCTTTTGCCCTTCGCCTTTGACCTTTGGCCTTTTTACCTTTACCCTTTGCCTTTTGCCCTTTGCCCATTGCCTTTTTCCCTTTGCCTTTTGCCTTTTCCCCTTTGCCTTTTCCCTTCTGCCCTTTGCCTTTTGCCTGTGCCTGTGCCCTTTGCCTTTTACCCTTTGCCTTCTGCCCTTTGCCGTTGCCCTTTGCCTTTTGCCTTTTGCCTTTTGCCTTTTGCCATTTGGCCATTTGCCTTTTGCCCTTCGCCCTTTGACCTTTGCCTTTTTACCTTTGCCTTCTGCCCTTTGCCGTTGCCCTTTGCCTTTTGCCTTTTGCCTTTTGCCTTTTGCCTTTTGCCTTTTGCCTTTTGCCTTTTGCCCTTTGCCCTTTCACCTTTGCCCTTTGCCATTTGACCTTTGCCATTTGCCCTTCGCCCTTTGACCTTTTGCCCTTTGCCCTTTGCCTTTTTGCCCTTTGCCCTTTGCCTTTTGCCCTTTGCCTTTCGCCTTTCGCCTTCTGCCCTTTGCCTTTCACCTGTGCCTTTAGCCTTTAGCCTTTTGCCCTTTGCCCTTTGCCTTTTTACCTTTCCCTTTGCCCTTTGCCCTTTGACCTTTGCCCTTTGCGTTTCACCTTCTGCCCTTTGCAGAGGGTTGAGCAAGGACATTGTTGAAGTTGAAGGCTTTTATTCGGCAATTCCACTTTACACCCCTGTTTTCACCTTCACCCCCATGTCCGTGCCTCTCTCTTCCTCTTGTGCAACCTCCCTTGTATACAAACCACCTCCAAGGTACCTCCAGCATCTTTCTCCTCCCACTCAATGCAACTACTAACCACCCTAAGCATAGCCTGAAGGAGCGTCTCCACCGCTATTGTTCAGCCCGTACCCTGAAGTCCAGCTCTGAGGGCCTTCTGGCGGTTCCCTCACTGTGTGAAGTAAAGCTACAGGGAACTAGGCAGAGGGCCTTCTCAGAAGTGGCATTCCCTGTGGAATGCCCTCCTGTCAGATGTCAAGGAAATAAACAACTCTCTGACTTTTAGAAAACATCTGAAGGCAGACCTGTTTAGGGAAGTTTTTAATGTGTGATGTTTTATCGTGTTTTGAATATTCTGTTGGGAGCTGCAAAAAGTGGCTGCAGAAACCCAGCCAGATGGGCGGGGTATTATTATTATTTTTAAGAATAAGAATAATTCTAACTGGGAATGTATAACTTCACAAAAGTTATCCAGTCCTATGCAGACTTAGGTGTGGCCCTGATTTCAGTGAGTTTGGTACTCATGGTGCTACATCTCCCAGGTCCTTCTCAAGATGACGCTGCCTCATACTGAGCCAGACCTCTGCTTAGTATTGTCTACACTGATGACAGTGTCCAAACCCTCCAAGTGTCCCTATTTTCCATGGATGATCCTGGATTTACAGAAGCCACCCCACTTTTCCTTAGGATGTCCCTATTTTCAACAGCGAAATGTTGGATGGCATGGTAGGAGGTCCCTATTTTCATTGGAGAACTGTTGGAGGGTATGGTAGGGCTGCCATATGTCCTGAATTTCCTGGACATATGGCAGTTGGAAACAGTGTCCAGGCAGAAATCACTGACTGAAATGTCTGGGAAGTCTAGATTTTCCTTAAGAAAAACCCAAAACTTCATGTTTGTTTGTGTTTTTGAAGTTTTGCCCCCAAAAAAGCACAACTTTTGTGTTCGGATTTTTCACTTTTTGAAATATGGCAACAAATTTTCTCTCTTTGAAATAGGACGTCCCTATTTTCATCAGAGAACTGTTGGAGGGGACATCTCTATTTTCATCGGAGAAATATTGGAGGGTATGGACTAGAACATCCCTATTTCCATCAGATAAATGTTGGTGGGTGAGGTGTCTCACGTAGAGGTCTTTCTCAGCTTTCCCTGAAGATGACAGAAAATGAATCTGGGATCTTCTCCATGCAATGAATATGCTCTTCCACTGAGCTACAGCCCCTCTTCTCTCTAATCCTAGACTACTCAGAACCTCTGTGACATCTCTATCTGCCCAGGCTCATTGTGACATCATAGTATATGATTTGCCCTCCTGAAATGTCGAGGGTATGGATCTATCAGCCACCTTATGCTTCTCCAGATTTTCGGAATAGGAACTCAAGCTTGCATAGAAAAGGGGTCAACTGATTGACATTCCTTATCAGAAAGCATAATAAAAAAAAGACTACTGTAATCACCTGACAACTTTCCTTCCCCCAGTTGCAGAAGGAATGGGAGAATGTGGATGCTGAGTTCTCCTGCAGGCCCTGAAGACTGAACAAGTTGCCCATCCTACCTGTATGTTGCCCTGTGGAACAAATAGAGATTGAATGACTTCCCCAAGGTCATAGAGAAAAGCTTGTGGCGGAAACAGGACAGGTTTGCCAGAAGCCCCATTCTATTCTAGTATATAAGCCCTCTCATTTCCTTAAAATGCATCTATGATATTTCCCTGAACCTGCTTAATCCTTTCACTGTAAGCTGCTGAAGCTTTGCTTATATGAAGCAGGAGCCTGTTGCAATAATGCTTATGGCTGCCTGCTGCTGCTGCAGGAGTGAACTCTTGATTCTCAGTAGAGTTCCTGCGATTGGCATGAGTGTGGCTTTAGTATCACAGTTCCCACAGTGCCAGATCTGTGACCAAAAGAATCAGAGAGTCAGCAAGCTATCATGCCGAGTCTCAAGCAGAGCCCAGTGAGACATATTGTAGGAATATTCCCAAGCAATATGGCCAATAATCTGGGATGGTGGGAATTGTAGATGATGATGGTGATGATGGTGATGATGATGATATGCCACCCATCTAACTGGGTTTCCCCCAGCCACCCTGGGTGGCTCCCAACAAAATATTGGAAACACAAAACAGCATCAACCATAAAAACTCCCCTAAACAGGGCTGCCTTCAGATGTCTTCTAAAAGTCAGATAGTTGTTTATTTCCTTAGCATCTGATGGGAGGGCGTTCCACAGCACAGGTGCCAATACCAGAAGGCCCTCTGCCGGGTTCCCTGTAACCTCACTTCTCGCACAAGGCCCTCTGAGCTGGACCTCAGTGTCCAGGCAGAACAATGAGGGTGGAGACGCTCCTTCAGGTATACTGGGCCAAGGCCATTTAGGGCTTTAAAGGTCAGATGCCAGGGACTGTGCTGGGGAGGGCTGCACTGAGGAGGAATAGTGGGAGTCTCTCCCCCTCCCCCCGCGTTCCTAATCTGGATCCTGAATCTTCCCAGGAGCAGGAGGACAGTATAGATTTGGAATAGTGGTTTGCAGAGGGGCATAGTTCAGAAGGCAGAAGCTGGGAAATATTGGATGGGGAACAGCTAGGAGAAGAAACACTGAGAGAGGGTTAACAGATTCACGGTCTCTGGAAAGCATCCATCCACTCTCCCCAAGGTCAAAAAGAGCTGAGAAAATGGCAGAACAGAAAGCACACAAAGCACAGAGGGGACAGGCTCAGATTACAAGACGTAGAAGTGATGTGGATTAATAAGGATGTAAGGGGATGGGATTCTTAATTGGGACCACCGCCATTTCTAGGAGTTGGGTTCTTTGTTCTCTCACTGTGATTATTAAAGTTCCTAAGTGGTAAGAAGACTCCCTTCCCTTTGTTCTGCTTATCTACTGCCACGGGGGGAGGAAGCCAATTCCCTGAAGCCTGACCCTGACCCTGACACCAACACCAACACCAACACTTTGAATTGTGCTCAAAAACGTACAACACCACTTTGGACCTCCTAGTTGAGACTATAAATGGTAACTGCACCTAACTTGTAGAACACTGCGCAGAATTTTCACAGGCTGCATTTCATGGCACCTTGGCCACGATGTTCACATTTCCTTTTCCTGTATTTCCTTTTCCTGTATATTTGTGTGGGTATCTTTTTGTATATAATACCTTCTGGCTAAGGATAACATGCCATGCATTTAATGGAGCGGGCTGTAGTCCAAGTACAGTTATGCCACAATAAATCTGTTTGTCTCCCTATGCCACACAATCCTTTGCTTCTTTTTTTGACTGCGCCAGACTAATACATCTAACCCCCTCTATAATGCGTCCCTTTTAAAATCAGTAGTCTTAAGCACCAATGTTCTTACAGTGCTGATAACAGACAACGGGAGACTGTCTGGCAGCTAATCCCAGCCTATCCTTTACCTGTCTTGCTGAGCTATTGTCCTGCATATGGCACACCCAGACTGCTGACGTCTTTGCTCCTCTCCTTCCCTTCCTCTTCCCACTAAGCTTTGGTGGATTTCTTTCTCTATATCCTCCAGCTATTCTTAGCAGCCCCACTGCGATCTGCTGGCAAAAGCAGCTAAACCAATCAACCTGTCTTGTTAATGATGATGACTAACCACCACCACTCCAGTCAACACAGTGGGTTGGTGTGATCAGCTGGAATTGTTAACAGCCCAGTGCAACAGTTTTGATAAGAAGAAGAAGAGTTTGGATTTGATATCCCGCTTTATCACTACCCAAAGGAGTCTCCAAGCGGCTAACATTCACCTTTCCCTCCCTCCCCCACAACAAACACTCTGTGAGGTGAGTGGGGCTGAGAGACTTCAGAGAAGTGTGACTAGCCCAAGGTCACCCAGCAGCTGCATGTGGAGGAGCGGAGACGCGAACCCGGTTCCCCAGATTACGAGTCTATCGCTCTTAACCACTACACCACACTGGCATAAGTTGTTTTTAGGGAGTTGTTTTGCTTCCTTAAAAGGTTGGGCCAGATCCCTGCACAGATATGAAACCAACAAGATCAAGTTTAGCAAACACACACAGGTCCCGCTTTCTGAGCACAATGCATTCCCAGGAAATCATTCCTTAGGTGAGTGTTCACATAACGAGTCAATGATTTCCATTGATTTCTATAGGGAAATTTATATTCTGTTCCCGACCGTGGAATATTGACCTCAAAAACCCTCTGAAACTTTGTAAAAGGCAAACAATGAAGGGGGGGAATGCTCTCTTGTTTGTCCAATCTCTCCCCCTCCCTCCCCACTCCCTCCCTCCATGGTTTCTGGCAAAATGGCTGCTGTGGACCACAAAAAGGTATGCCTTGTTTAAGGCTGCTTGTTTGTTTATAGTACTACACACACCTTGGACAGGCCTGAATCATCCCTTTGAACCAGTAAATAATTCCAAAGTTGTATTATCTCTGAATACGAGGCTGTGTGCATCAAGAGTAGTTATTTCTCACAAAAGACTTCACTTCCAGTTATGACCACCAGGTGGCCTACGAATAAAACACTCATTACCTGAAGTGCACATCTTCAAGTAAAGTGAATGGTTTTGAAATGGCATATATAGCATTCATTTTCAGCAGGTAAATTAGGTCTTAAACCACACCCGGGGATCAGCTTGACTTAAGGAGGACTGCAAACAGCAGTCTGTACAAGTATATGGGGGGATGTAATAATGAAAAAGCGGACCCCCTCAGTGTGGTCCTATGTGCAAAATGTTTGAAGACTACTGTTCCAAAGAAACTCAGAAGAGGACATGGCTAGCTTATCAATGAATGAGTGCTCTAGAACTGGTTTGACATTCTCCTTTTATGTGAGATTTTATAGCCACACAAGAGAATTGGGTTCTTTGAAGGGCTCGTCTACACTTCTACTCGTCTAGCCACTACCCCCCAGGGAAAACCTGCTTTTTAAAA